CTTAAATGCTTAATGCACCACAGTAATTTAGCAGAAAGTTAAGGTATTGTACTGCCAAAGATTACCCCTAAAAAAAGTTTACCCAGAAAATGTACTTTGCAAGGGAGTAAAGACCAACCTGAAGTGAGAGAACAGCACGGTCTGCGAAGTGCTTCACTGAATTTGGTGCACTAGGAGGAAGAGTTTTTGCAACTCTTTCCAGTTCTTCATGTTGCTGCTTTGCAGTAACCGTGTCAGGCCCACAATAATGATCCACAATCTCTTTGAAAAGTGGAACCTTCTCCATTGTTTCCTTCATAATTTCCTGATAAAAGCCATACAATAGGTATCAGTATACAAAAATGGATATTGGCCTAGAAGAATGTATTAATCATCTAAACAATTAGCCACAAGGAAAAAAATTCCAAAATGCTTAGAAACAGAAGATACTCGGGTAGTTTAAGAGCAGGGGCGGAGCTACAAGGGGGGCTAGCACAGGCCTGGTCGGCCGGCCCCGTAGCCTAGCCCCGCGGCCCATAAATATTTAACTTGGGCCCCTGTAAATTTATTGTATATGTATTATTAAGTGAATATTAACTTCACATAAATGGTCTTGCTTTAGTGGTATATAGGTAGTACATGATAGCACACATGGTCACTTGTTCGATTCTCCTAGCTCTCTCACTTTGTTTTTCTCTTTTATTTTTCTTGTATAATTTGGGTGTTTTTTTTTTCTTTTATAATCCCGCTTCTTCATTTTTTTTTTTTCTCTTTTATTTTCTATAAAAAATTCTTAAAAAATAAAAATAAAAAATCCTTTAATAATTTGGCCGGCTGTTTTTTTTTTTTTTTTTTTTTTTTTCCATTTATAATCCCACTTTAATTTTCTTTTATGAGATGGCAAATGAAGATTCAATGCTTCAAATTCAATAACACTTTGTCTAAATTTTATTCATTCATGATATTTTATTGATTGATGATCATCATAAATTTGCCTGTGTATGATGTTGTGACATACATTCAAAAAAACACATGTACTTTCTAAGATCTAAATGTTCAATATTGCTATTTTATGTTTCTACTTATTTTTGTTAATTGTTTTGAATTAGACTAGAGTTTGCCTTTGTATATGATGTTATAACATACATTCAAAAAAACACGTAACTTTCTAAAATTTAAATGTTATATATTGCTAGTTTATATGCTTCTCCTTATTTTTATGAATTTTTTTTATTGATTTAGAGTAGTAACATTTACTGCAAAGTTCTTCGTATTTGTCTTGTGATTTGTTTGCATGTCAAGGTAAAATGATGAACTCTGAGTCTTTGTATAGAGAAATTTTTATTGTCAATGCTAGCACGAAAGATATTTTGTCCCTCGAAAATAATAGGCTTGGCCCCGTTAGCTTTTAATTCCTGGCTACACCCTTGCTTAAGAGCTATGCATCTCACTATCTTGTGGGGGAAAAAAAATCTGCAGTGTAAAGGTATCATAGAGAAGACAGGAAAAACAACTTCTATTTCTAGATCATACATATAAGTAAGACATTTCTGTAAAAGAGAAGTAAAATCATATTCTGTTATCAGCCAATGAATACCAATGGTTGAGACTCGATTTCCAATAGAGCCAATTTAGTCGACACTTTTATATCCTAATAAAGACAAACTTGCTCCCTTATAATTAAGCTAAACCACACAACTACCCATGAAGCCCCCACTCTATATTCCAGTGACACAACCCCCCCCCCCCCCGCGCGTCATGGAAACCCCCATTATGGACAAATGGAAAATCAATTAGATGCCAAATTATGATGAGTCCACAGGTCAGCAGTAAAAGGAAGCAGTGAATTCATTATTTATAAATGCAAATCATAATTTTCAACTTCATTATACGGAATCAATAATGATCATTGTTCACGGATCAGTAGATAGTATGACTAACCGCATTTTAGAAATAGAATGAAGAGACACAACTTATGCATAGGAGAAAGAAGGGAGAGTCAAAGATAGAGAAGAGTGGGCAAGATCTGATATGTCTGCCTCAGTGAAGGAGCCATGGTCATCCCAAATACCACAAAGGCTGCATAAAAGCTAATTCCCATATAACTAGAGCATATACTGTTGTGTGTGCGTGTGTGTTCAAATTCCTTCTCATTATAACAAGTCTGCTTAAATGATCTAATTCCCATATGGCTAGTGCATACACCTATGTTTGTCCTAAACTAAATTTCTATCTTACCATGTACACTTTATCTCACAATGCAATTAGCAAATATAGAAAATCAAGATGGGTGAATGGATGATTTAAAAGGAAGTCAAATATTAATGCAAGGGAAGTGGAAAAGGCCAATCTAAGCATCAAGGATTCCATATGCATCAAAATTCAGGGATACAAGATACAACTTGCATAGATTTTTTTCTTAATAAAAACATTAGTACTCATCTACAAGGGATTTAAATAGCATTGAAGAGCACAAGCTAATAGCAGAGCATGCAATGTAGCAGAATAATGCTTACCTCCCACTCTTCTTCATTCTCTATTCCCTCATAAGCCATCAAGAATGGCTTCATCTTCTCAAGAGCTTCACGAAGAGGAATAGGCGGGGTCTCATTAATATCAGGATTTGTCTCGAAATCTCCCATCAAGTATTCAGGCTCCAATTCGATCTACAATCCAAAGGTGAAGTTAACACATGGAATAGCCTATCCAAGTAATTAAAAAAATAAAAACAAAAACAAAACAAACAGAGGTTATTACCTTAAGGTTGGTATCAAGTGCCTCAAGATGCTCATCCTCCTCAGGATCAGGTAAGACATCAGTACTCATTTCTTCAAATGCCTCTGACAGTTCAGCCATCCTGCTAGGTCCAAGTGCCTCGGCTAACTTCTCACCATCTGCATCATCACCCATGGCAAAATTATCATCATCATCCTCATCCATTTCTTCATCTGAGTCATCTTTTGGTCTTCCACCCCTTCGCCTCCGATCACCTCCTCCTGCTGCACGCCCACCCTCCTTTCCATCGTCACCCTTGGACAAGATACCAACTGCCTTATTTTTCGCCTTCTCTAATTCCTCTTTGCTTAACTTTTTCCTTGCACCTGCAGAACCAGTATCTCCTTTCTCAGATCTATCTCTCCCTCTTCCAGCCTCAGAGGGAGGAGCACCGATTTGTTGCCTTGGCCTAAGATGCCGATTCTCTTCCTTAACTCTAGTTTCCAAAACCGGTTTTCTTTCAGTGGTTCCCCTCCCTGATCCTCCTCCCAATACATTCAGTATATTTTCAGGAAGATTCTTCTTTCCAATGGGTTGACGAGGCATAGAAGCAACTGACTCAGCTTCAAAACTACTACCTGTTGATTCATCCTTCGTAAGAAATATAGGCCTCTTAGGTTGCAAATCCTCTTCATTTCCCCCCTGCTGAACCGGACCACCTCTACCCCGACTTAACCCTAATTGCTGCCCCGGTGGATTGGGAGCAACAAAACCATTATACGAAGGACGGAATGAGGTACCGTGCCCACGTCCAGCAGGATGAGGCGATGATCCATCCGAATCATCCAATCCCTCATTTGAACCAGCCATTCCAGCCACAAAATTAAAAACAGGAGAACCCGAGGCGGCACCTCGGCCACGACCCCTACCACCTCCTCCTCCAGAACCACCCCCAGCAGAAGAAAAGGCAGAACAAAAACCAAGTTTACTTGTCCTCCCAATTGTTGTACTTCCTACACTACTAGGATTCATAAACAACCCAATTCTTCCTCTCATTTTCACCCTTTCCCCCTAATTCTATCAAAAATAAATCAAGGGTTCACCTTGCAAATACAAAAAAATTATAAAATTTATCATCAGTATTCTAATCTAATGCTATAATCAAGTTTTATACATGGAATCATGCAATAATTTCAGTCTATAAATCAATTAACAAACAAGCTTAAAGCATTAATAATAAGAAAAATATATGAACTTGAATAAACAAAGTTACAATTGACAAATGGGTTTTACCTTTGAATATTGGATTTGATGAGGAAGCACCGAGTTTGCAGTCGTTATGCCCGGTTGCGCGGCGTTGGTTGGAGCCACGATGGTCGCCGGAATGTGGGACGGTGGTTTGGTTGATGGCGGTGAGGAAGGGCTGGAAGTTAGAATGATTTTTTTTGGATTTTGGAAGTTGATTGAAATGTAGTGACTGCTTACTAGTGAGTTTTGAGACATAGAAATCGAAAAAAAAAAAAGAAAGAAAGAAGGGAAAGGATCGAACTCGGGATCTGTTGGTAACTAAGTTCTAACTATGTACAATGGGTTAAGGCCTTAAGGGTCGTTTGTTTAAAGTGGAATTGATTGGTAAGGATTTTGAATTCCTTACTAGTTTGAATTTGCTTGGTTTATTGTTGGACTAGTTTTTACATTTCATTTAAAGAAAGAAATGCGAATCTTAAGGAAAAAGGGATATTAAATGTTGATGTTTCATTATCTGAGAAAGGATTAATAGGTATGAGTGCAACCGCCTGAGATTCAAATGACACAGTCCTTTGTGAAATAAGGAAAGTTCGAGTTACCAAGTTAAGTTTGATCTAGTGGAAAAGATGGAACCTTCTAACTTTGAGATAGGGGGTTCAATCCCCAATATAGACACTTTGAGGTGAGGATCCCTTACCCTTCCCCCTCACTCTCAAAGTGTTTGACCTGCAAAATCGCAAATACCGGACCAACTAAACCGTCTTAGAAGGAATATAGGAACTATGGGTACCCCTGCTTTAAGTTTTTGATTTACATGAGTCCACGAAAGTAAACATTATTGTTTCATTAGAAAGTTCATTAATTAATCAAGAAAAAAATATATAGTCATCTTCCATTAATATAGGGCACTTCTATCTTCTTGAATATGATTTATTTGTGGAGTAGAATAAAAGGTGAAAGTTTTCTTCCAAATTATTTTCTTTGCAAGCTCCTTTTAGACCCTCCAACACGATCAAAAAACTATCATCAACCAATCAGTTAAAAAAAAAACAAGAGCGAGACACAAGTCATAGCTGCTATGTTCTGCTGAAGGCAAACAAACACAAATTCAGTTGCTTTGATGCAAGCGGAATATGGTTACATTTCACCAGATAAATAAATATACAAGATTTCCAGTAAGATTCACGCGTCCTACTTTCCAGAAACAACTACAACTGTACAATAAACATAGGATGCACATTTTCTGGCAGAAGGATGTCAACATTAAACAACACATGCCATCTGAAAAGTAGAGGAATGCATCAAACAAATCTCACACCTGCCAGCTGCTAAATATGTTCAAGTGAAACCTTCCCGTTACTTCTCCAACTTTGATCTCTTTGACAGCAAGTCAGCAATCCTCAAAATCTGACGCAGAAAAAGTGCTCGACCTTTTCTTTTTCATGTGTCCACTGCAAATTGGCATTAGCTTAGGTCCAGTGACCAAATTGTAACAACAATACATCCACCTGCCCAAGGCTAAATGCGTGAAGGTGAAATTTGCCCGCATTTTCTATCAACTTAGGTCTCCTTTCAGCGCATTAGCTACTCTTTGGATAGCTCTGGCAACCCTCCAAATCTCATGCTGTATTGTTGCTTGATTTTCCCTCTTCGTTTGTGTAGATTGAGAAATAGCATTAGCTATAGAAGGAAAGAAGTCTACCTTGCTATCATAGTGGTTGGAAGGTCCATAAACCTGTAACCATATATTATTGCAAAATTCTTAGTCACTACATAAAAAATTCAAGACTCTCGAGTCTTGACAGAAAAAATTTGAGCTTTCCTGTTCCTGCTCCTTTTATCCCACAGCATAATTGTCTTTGGTGATGAAATGACTGGAAAACTAGAGATAAACATCTATCTGTTAAAAGCAATACTCTATTTTTTGTTTGAAGAAGCACAGCTTATGCACATTACTAGTACTAGATAGTGGCAACACGGAGATAATGTTTGCCTCTGCATACTACAGAGTACAGACTACCACGAATCACCTTTACAAATTCATTATCGCTATCTTATGTAGTAAAATAATGAAATCATAAAAAAAAAGAAGGAACATCACTTACCAGATGCTTGAACCACTGATTCCCTAGCTGCCCCTCAACATCTAAGAAACCTCTTTCTGCAAGCATCAACCGATCATTTAACATTCTTTTCTTCAGCACTTCAAGATCACTAGAGACCCCCTCAGCTCTTAGATTCTGCAATTGTCATTCTAAACATGTAATAGCATCCAACAGCTATGTTTCTTCATTTAAAAGAATAAAGACAAGAATACCTGCAGGGACGCTACTTCTACTTCATACATGCATTGTGCAAAAACAAAAAAAAAATTATACTATGCCTAATCATGTTTTCTATTACAATATTCAGGACAAAGGTCTTGCTTTCTGTAGATCATTAGAGCTAGAATCCAGTGGAGCAGTTTAACTTGAGGTCCCATCCACTTAAATTCTGCTATTATCTTGTTTTACTTCTTAAAGTTTAAATTTTCACCAACTTGGGACCAATTTTGGGACGCAAGGAAGCCTTGGACATAAGGGAGGAAAATGGGTGCAATTTTCTCTAAGAGAAACAAAGTCCAAGAAGACCCCCTTTTTCTAGGTCTTTCCTCACTGAGGACCATGGGGCAGGTCAATCAAGTCTTTAGGATTCTATACATCTATAAGGGCAGCAAAGATACAGAGCAAAGAGTGATGTCCTACTATCCAGTTTCAATCCTATCTTCAGGGAAAGTAGAGAACAGACCGGGGTAAAAAGAAGATTCAAAATTACAGTAGCTTTTGAAAAAGAATGCTTTCAAAGAATGATGTGATGTGCGTATGTCTACTTCTCCATTGCCTTACTGGCTTACGCCATGCACACATCTGGATCAATCCTTTTTCGGCTTTTTTGTGAAGCATTAGGTTTGTCCTGATGCTTTGTCTGACTAGGGAATCTTCAAGTTTGGTACAGGAAACCAGGAAGAATTATCTGGATATGCACTCTCTTTGCAAATAATTTCAAATGCTAATCATTCCCTTAAGGTATAGACATATAGCCAAAATCAGATGATACTCTAGGCTATGTCTTCCAAGATTATAATTTATCACTTCAAGAGAAGCAAAAATATTTTAATTTTTTTTTTCTCTTTCTTTTTCCCCTTAATGTATCCCCTAATGTATCTCTTATCTGTTTTATGGATTATTTTTCCTCTGTACATTCTACTTCTCTCTACTGAGGCTAAGTTTCACTAGACTTTTGCTGATGTGCTTTGACTTTTCTTATCAAATCTAATTAAAATTTGCTTGTGTGGTCTGATCTAAGCTGATCAATAATCATAATAATTGTGGTTGCTCCTGCTGCTCTTTTTCCAGCTATTGCTACAACTGGACATGACACTACAACTATTGCTAATACCACCGCCACAAATACCACTAGCCTACAACTACTAAGGCACCTCTTCTTCCTCTTGCTACATCTTGTGTTGATGCTAGTACTGCTAGTATTATTGCCAACACGCCTTCTGCAGCTGTTAAGACTCTTCTTCCTACTCCGACAACAGCTTTTGCCTTTTGTTGATGCCACTGCCTACTAATAATGTTGCTACCACTTCTGCTGCTGCTCTTGCTGTACCATCACCACCACGACTACTACATCTAGTATTACTCGAGCTACTCTTATTATAAACTGCTACGGCTAATTCCGCTGCTCCACCTACTGTTCTAATTCACTAATTTGATCTGATTCTTGTTGCCCAGTCCAATCTAATCTGAAATAAGCAATAGAGTCCCAAATAAGGTGAACTAATCATAGCTTGAAATTTAGTTTCATGTTTAAGAAAAGGAAAAAAATAATGGAGCAAGAATACAATATTAAACTATATTAGTTACCATATGCTTGTAGGTTGTAGCACATGAAAGCATCAAATGTAGTTAGATAAGCTTATCTCACCTTTGCTTCCTCCTCGACTTCTTGAGCTACAGCAAATAAATTTTTGATAGATGTAGATATAGGAGTAAAGGACACACGGCCTTCCAGCTTATTGCTCAAGACACTTGTATACTCCTGCATAGATGTAGAAAGGTCACTTGGTTAGCCCTCCAATTTTTATAGCACAAGAAGCTTTGACCAAGTTGCTACCACACGATATGCCATATGACAAAAAAGATCATTACATAACAGAATAATAAAAGCCAATAGCCCCACCTAAAAATCTTTATAATATTGTCAAACATCAATAAGAATAGGAATAGCAGAAGGCAAGTGAAGATTATACAATTATCTCTAACAGCACTTTGCATGGAGTGATATCCTTCCTCTACTTTTTTTTTAAACCTTTATAATGTATTTGCACAATCATTCTTGTAGAAAGTGGACAATATCTTCTAGTAAAAAGCAATTTATACAAGAAAACACTAAAGAACTTCAGGTTAATTAGTATTAACTCCACAGTAAAAATAAAAAAATAAAAAAAAAAACGTTGAAGAGTATATCAAGTATAACACAAGATACCTGTAACTGCATTGCATATGAATGATAATTGAAGGGAAGAATTGGATCATCAGCCAAACGCAGAGCTAGAAGGCCCCAAAGTCCCGCCACTATGTAAATCAAAATTTATGAAGGTTATATTGGGACACTAAGCATCAGCCATGTTTTCCTAAAAATACAATTTACAACTTCAACTAAGAAAGAAACTGACCAGCCGCATGGCGATGGAACAAAGGATCTCCGTGGTTTAACATCCAGTCATACGAGTCAAAAGCTGTGTGATAGACTGGAAAATCTGGGGGCAAAGTGAAAAAGTATAATTTTCAGCATTATGACATTGAAAGATTAATATCACGGTTTTGAGCACAAACAAACAAATAATGGATGAAATAATTCAATTTCTTTCCGAAAAATTAGAGATTACATAGACCGTGAAAAATAATCTATTTCATCCCTAATCAGGGCTTCATCTTAAGAGCTGTCACTAGGGCATTATTATGAAACTATTTCCATGTAAAACTTGATGTTGGCATGTAAAAGAAAATCAAGTTTGTGATGTCGGCATGAGGTTATAGATAGTTGATCCTCCTCATACAATCACTTTCTTGTTTCTATCAAGTTGCTTGTGTCTTTCATTACCCAGCCTCTTCCCCACAACAATTATCCGCCTCATACAATCACTTTCTTGTTTCTATCAAGTTGCTTGTGTCTTCCATGTAAAACACACACATTTATTATTCCCTCATACCTAATTTTAAACTTCAGTTGTGGTTCAGCATGTAAGGAAATCAAAATGAATTGATCCATCTGATAAATCTTAGAAGTCACAGAAGATCTGACTATTAATGGGAAATAAGGACTCTGCAGATCCTTTTCTACCCAGTAAGATATCATTAATTACAAAGAAACATAAAGGGATGACATTATTGACATAGAGCCGGTAAGTTATTAATTGAGCCCACTAAGAGAAATACCTGTCCCATAGTATATATCAACAGAAGGAACCCCTACATGCTGCAGGAATGGAGCAAAATCAGAGTCCACTCCACTAAGCCTCTGGATCTGCAAAACAATGAAGAAAATATTAAAAAGTTGACATGCCCTCAAAGAAACCGATTTATTCTATTTTCCCCTTTTTGTGGTAGAGCTTTAATTATAAAGGCTCACATCAGCTATCAACTATTCTCACTTAGGATGCAAACTTTTTTTTGATGAGAAGTGGCAATCGATTAAGCATGTCACCTGAGGTACACTCTCGGTGCCCTTTCTTTCTCCCTCATTATTACACTCGTATGTTTGAGGCCAGCATATGCAATTCATGGCAAGCTACTCGTCAATAGGCAAGTCACATACTGACAGAATGTGTCAAAAATAACAAGACTATAACAGTGAGAAATGGCATTCAAACAGGTAAGAGGTGCTGACAGGACCGATCCTTCAAACTTCCAACCAAAACCAGAATTAACTTTGAAGCAGCTAGAAACAATCAATGAGCCAAATAGGCAAATATCCAGCTAGACCATCCCCCCAGTCTCAGCAGAGCCACATGTTTCATGACTTTGAATTTTAAAAATAGGAAGTTATTTCACAGCTTGAATCAACCATTAGGCCAATTGAAAATTGTGCTTAAAATACATGCAATCTATCAACTACTTGACCCATGCTTTCTTTTTTTCCTTTTTTTTTTCTTTTATATATATATATAAAATGAGACTGAATCAAAAACATCCCACTAAGTGCCAATGGTCCAGTATTTGCAATAATGCGGGTACTAACACCAATCTCAAGCTTCTCTATGAAAACAGAAATGTAACCTCCCTCCATCGATTATTATTTAACCTGATGAGGGGACGAAAAAGAAATGCAAACATTACGACAATGACGCCTCCAGCTTTGTTACTGACCACCCAACCATCATGTAGCTTAATGGCATTTTAATAATAATTTTTTGAAGAACCTGATGATACCTATGGACATCAAAGAAAGAGAAATTTGAGTAATATTGGTGGATGGATGGAATAGAAACGGAGATAGGCATTCCCTCAATTTTTTAATGTTGTTTTGAATCTCAGACAAAATATTATGAGATGATTTAGAGCATGGGCCCCAACTCCTGAATAAAACAGATTTTCCGACACCTATATTCCATCGGTCCATCCATTCAGACCCAAGTCTGTATTTCAATCAATTATACCTTCGAGACAAAGGGGCTTGCTGAAAAGAGTTGCACTACTTCAAAAAGAGATATGAGATCCTAAATATGTTACGCTGGAGCAGAGGCCAGGGTATATATTCTACTGCATGAGAAGAGGACAGTACTTTAAGAGGCTTACATTGATGCCTTTGTTCCTGGCAGTCCACTGGTCAAAAATAGTTTTATCTGCAGCATCAGGATCCTCAATCTACACCAATTCAAGCCAAATTTCATACATTAGCAATATGTATCAATACAGCTCAATTATTACATGATTTTCCTTACCTTCTTCGTAATGTCAGTTAGAAGATCATCCAGTTGTGGAGTCATACTTGGAAATAATCCAGGACCTTGAACTGCACAATCCACATTCAAATAGGCTACAGCCCTAGAGCCAAGATTCATAATGTTTTCTTCAACCCATTCAGTTGAACCTATCTGGAAAAGAATTAGATATGACTAAGTAAGAACCAACAAAAACATGATCCTAATGAAGAAATCACATAAGGTGTAGCTATGTGCAGGACACAAAACTTTATCCATTAAAATCAATATCATTAGTTAATTCTCAGTATAGTTATTTTTAGGTTCAGGCTAGGAATCGACATAGACTTAAGCATCAAAACTTAAAGATTATGGACTGAAAGGATGATTAATGAAGAAACAAGCTAGATATGACTGAATTAAAGCTAATCGCGGTGGCTAATCGACAATTACAGCCTTGCCAATCTTTCGAGAGGAATGGCACTCTCCCAAAACTACAAACTAAATCACTCAACACAATATTCAGCTGCCTTCCCTCCTCTCTAATCCTCTGTATTTATAGACTTTCTTTTCTAACAAACTCTCTAACTCATTTCCCAAGCTACCCATAACTAACTTATAAAGAGACTGCCTAATATGCCCCTCCCCCTAATATCAGTTCCTTGCAGTTCGTAGTAGCATTTAGAGTAGTCAATCAATCAAAGCCTTAATCCCATAAGTGGGGTCGGCTAACATGAACCAAATTTGATTATTTCGTATAGTCATCGACATAAATCTTCCTCCTCCATCCCTTACGATCCAATGCTTCATCCTCATGCAAATCCATACACTTCATACCATTCCTAACCCCTTCCAACCAAGTCATTTTCGGTCTCCCTCTCCCTCGTTTAACCCCTCCATGGTCCCATTCTTCCACTCTTCGCACCGGTGCACCTTCGGGTCTCCGTCTTACATGCCCAAACCAACACAGGCGATTTTCCCTTACTTTATCTGCAATGTCTGTCACACCTACTTTCTTGCAAATAACATCATTTCTGATTCTATCTCTTAGAGTGTTCCCACACATCCACCTTAATATGCGCATTTCCATAACCTCCATCTTTCTAATGTGCTCCTTAGAAGCCCAACATTCTGTACCATAAAGCAACACTGGTCTTATTGCAGTCCTATAGAATTTTCCCTACAACTGTAAGGGAATGCTTCGGTCACATAATACTCCCATGGCCGCTCTCCATTTAAGCCACCCCGACTAAATCCTGTGAGCCACGTCTTGATCAATGTCACCATTCTTCTGGATGATAGACTCAAGATACTTAAAGCATTCACTCATGGTCAAATCCTTTCCATCCAAACTCACCACTTCATTGCTTGTCCCCCTTTGAGTACCAAAACGACATACCAAATATTCAGTCTTACTCCAACTTAACTTAAACCCTCTAGATTCCAACATTTGCCTCTATTGCTCCAAATTAGCATTAACCCCATCCTTAGTTTCATCCACCAAAACGATATCATCTGCGAACAACATACACCATAGAACCTCATCTTGAATTGGTCTAGTTACTTCATCTAGAACCGTTGCAAAAACAAAAGGGCTTAATGCAGACCCTTGATGTAATCCGATTATAATAGGGAAATCTTTTGTCAACCCTCCACAGGTCCTACATTTGTTGATACATCCCGATACATATCCTTAACCAGGTCCACGTACCTTCAAGGGATACCTTTCTTCAACATTGCCCACCAAAGTACCTCTCTTGGCACCTTGTCATATGCCTTCTCTAAATCAATAAAGACCATATGAAGATCTTTCTTTTTTACCTTATAAAACTCCATCATTTGTCTTATCAAATGAATGTTTCCATAGTAGATCTCCAGGTATAAAACCAAATTGTTTATCCAAAATGCTTGTGCATGCCCTCAACCTATGTTCAATCACCCTTTCCCACAACTTCATAGTGTGGCTCATAAGCTTGATCCCTTGATAGTTAGAACAATCTTGAGCGTCTCCTTTGTCTTTATAGATCGGGACCAAGGTGCTCTTCCTCCAATCTTGTGGAATCCTTATAGCCGTCCATATCTTGTTGAAAAGGTTTGTTAACCAATCAATACCAATCTTACCCAAACACCTCCACACCTCTATCGGTACACCATCAGGGCCAACTGCTTTCTTAGGCTTCATTTTCTTCCGTGCAATCTCCACCTCCACTCTCCTAATCCTCCACACATACTCCATGTTGATTTCTTCATCACTCACGGAGGTATCTCCTGTCACAACTCCATTACTTCCATTAAACAGTTCATCGAAGTACCTCTTCCACCTTGATGTCCTCTTCTCGTACTAGGACCATTTGGTTCTTATCTTTGACACACTTCACCATGCCAATATCCTTCCTTGTCTCTTGTCTTCTCTTTCCCATCTTATAAATGATCTTTTCTCCCTCCTTCGAATCAAGCTTTTCATAAACCTCCTGATAAGCCTTCTCTTTTTCTTAGCGAACAGCTACCTTTGCCTTACTCTTAGCCTCTTTATACGCTGCAAAGGTTTCGCCACTTCTACATTTTCCCAAGGCTAGATAGCATTCCCTTTTTTGCTTAATTACTACTTTCACCTCTTCATTCCACCACGAAGTATCTCTTTGTATTGAAGCTCTTTCCCTTGATTCCCCTAAGACCTCTTTGGCCACTCTCAGGAAACAGTTCTTCATTCGTAACCAAGTCTATCTGGATCCACCTCTCCATCCCAATCCGCCTCCTTAATTACCTTTTCTGTAAAAACCTTAGTCTTTGCATCCCTTAGAGTCCACCATCTTATTATTGGATCCTCTTGTCTTCCTTTTTTCTTCACCTTCTCTTTCAAACAGATAGTCATTACCGACAGCCGGTGTTGGGTGACCACACTCTTTCCTAGGATGACCTTGCAGTTCAGGCAACTTTGTCTATCCGTGCTCCTTGTGAGTAGGAAGTCTATTTGTGTTGCATTTGCTCCACTCTGAAAAGTTATCAAGTGTGAATCCCGCTTCTTAAACCGAGTATTAGCCAAAATTAAAACATATGATTAGGCAAAATCCATAATAGCTTCACCACCTGCGTCCCTCTGCCCATACCCAAAGCCTTCATGGACACTCTCATAGCCATCTCGGCTCGCCCTAACGTGCCCATAACTTTCAAGTGCACTAAGATTTTAATGACAGCATTTAGAGTAGTAAGGACCAAAAAATGGTCACAGCTAGTTACATTCCTTGTTAAAACAAGCACAAAGCTTGAGCATAACTTTCAAGTGCACTAAGATTTTAATGACACATGTCGTAAATGGAAAGAAATAAAATTTACCCACCATCCCAAACTCTTCAGCATCCCAACTGCAAAAAATAATTGTTCGGCGAGGCCTCCATCCCAAGCGCATCAAAAAGGCATATCTACGAGCAACATCAAGTAGGGCAGCAGTTCCACTATTAGGGTCTACAGCACCGAATGTCCACGCGTCTCTATGGTTACCAAGAAGTACATAACGGTCTGGCTCTTCTGATCCCCTGATGACAGCAAAAACATCATGAATTTTGGCATTTTTTTCTTCTCCCTGCATAAGAGAACCAAATAACAAATATAAATATGAAATCAGACAATTATAACCACAATAAGCAATGAAGGAAAGCCTTAAAACAATCTATGGATTGATAAATCATTCATCATTGAGAATTCTGAAGCAAGCCATTTGGAGTTTACAACATGAACATTTAATTTGGGAAAGCATGTACTCCCTCCATTTTCTTTCGACGTACCTATTTATCGTTGACTCTAGATTCTAGGAGAATTGGGTGGACGTTAAAAAATGGTGTATAAAGTAACAGAGAGTTTGTACAAAGTGTGTGTGTTTGGGGGGGGGGGGAAGGGGTAAGATAGTAAAATTTGTTTACCCAAAATAGAATGAAGTAGAAATAGGTACGTGTGTGCCTGATCCTAGTGATGATTCCGGCTGTGGGTCCCACATAACGACTATTCACATGCTTGGGGATTAGGGTTCATGTGAATGAAATTGGGATTTGTTGAGGTTAGATAATTACATGTTTGATTAGGGTTTTCTTGACCTTTATGATGTAAATAGGGTTTTATAGAATAGTGAATTAAGGGAAAAACATGGTAATAGAAGTGAAAAGGGAGGGAAATTAAAAGTGAAGGTCCCCCGGCCGGGATCATCATCGGAATCAGGTGGTGAAATCTTTTTTTTTTTTTTAATTAATAGGTAATGTTTTAAATTAAAATTCAAAGATGTGGTTAAATCAAAAGGTGGGGTTTTATAAGATGGTAAAATGCAAAAATCCTTCAACAAGCAAAATTTATGAGACTTCAAGCTCTTAATGTTGATAGTTTTGTAGGACATATGTGCTAAGAATCAATATATAGGGAAGAGGACAATTAGGTAGCTGCATCAGTAGTAGTAGCTTAAATAATAAATTAGGTAGAGGGAGAACTCTATAAATAGAGCTGATTAAAGAGAAATATCATGTTGAATTTTTTTTAGAGTGGAAATACTTTAGAGAGCTTCAACTTATTTTTAAATTTTAATGCACAATTCATCTTCTTCCTTTGAATTTTTGCATAATTTTTCTAGCTCATAGAAAAGTTCTCAAAAGCTCAAGCTTATATGGATTGGGCACATTAACAAGAGGCACTATCAAAAAATCATGTTACAGCTTGAACAAGGGAAATTAGGTAAAGCAAGAACCCCAAAATAGTTAATTACAGCGTTTTTAACTTCACTTTGGTCTCTTGAACCTTAAGGAAGTATCATCTTCACATGAATTTAACTTGTCTTATGTTATTCAAAATTATTAATTCTTGAACTTATTGTATTTGAACTTATAAGACTGAAGAAACTCAAAATATGGTGGGGATAATAGAACCCCAAACATACACGAAGTATAAAATTAATAAGTGAAAATTAGGTGGGGAAAACAAAGCTGTGTTGCCTTGATCATACCAATTACTTTGACCCCTCCTCTTTTTTTCTTATTGCACCTAGAAAAAAAAAAAAAAATACAATTGTTTTGTAGTTTCCCCTACTACCTTCCCTTCTAAAAAGAGCTTTGCAGGTTTGCTGCCAAAAAATGTTAGGGGTAAGGCCATAATGCTACATAACGGAAACCTCAAGGACCATATTATTAGTCATGAATCATCATTGCCTTAAAAGAGCTGATTACATTAATATAGATCACCTTATTATTCATCTTGAAAACAAAGAAAGAGACAAGTTATATACACAGTGAAAAAAAATAATGAACTAACAATCAACAAGAGCAGAAGTTATATACAATTCAGACTTTTCATAAGAAAAGCTATCATCAGGAGTTGTAAGGGCCACAAAGAGATGCTATCAATGAACAAAGGGCCAAACTGAGGATTTTCCTTAATAATCTATCAACTACCTAAAACAAAAAATCTTCAAGCTGCTTTGGTAAAGCAGATACCTTATTCAACAACTACCAACTAAGGGAGCACAATGGCTAGCTCTAATAGCTAAATCATCGCTACACCTTTTTTTTTTCTTTGATGATTTACCATAAAAATTTTATTGTGAATATATATATGGACTTAAAATCCATTTTAAACATTAACTTGAACATCAAAATATACAAACTCTAATTCATTTATCCAGCAACCAAACCTCAACAACCCTTAACCATAAAAATCGTCGTCACAACAAGTAACATGACTTCCTAAAATGAAAGCAATTCCAACAACCAAAATATGAAACTTAAATAGAAATACTTTACTCACTCAGCTTACCACATTCAGAATGATACAAAACCACCATAAAATTGACCATAACTTTTAGCAAAAAACCAGTTCCCACAAAAACAGTTACAACATCATTCAGGACCACATTTCCTAACATACATAACATAACTTAAAGTCAAATAAAAACAGCAACAATCCAAATATAACTTCATTAGATTTCCAAAATTCCAAATCAAACCTTAAAATTTCCAAAATTCAAACCTGATAAGTAAAATTCAGCACAGTAGGACCAGGACCAACCCTTAAATTGCTATTTTTAAGGGCATCCCTCCATTCTAAGGGCACCTGAGGTCCCTCAAGTGACCTTAAAATACCCTCAGCTGTCTCCACAGAAATTGGCAAAGATGGAATTTTAGGAAACCTTTCTTCAACTTCCTTCTCATTTCTCCCTAATCTCTCTCCTCCTTCCATTACACTCCCCCAACCAGGACTCAGTGGGTCCCCCACACCCTTCATCACTGTCCCTCTCTCCACCCCTTTAACATACTCCCCCTCGGTGTACATCAGCACCGCGACAGCCCCTCTGAGTTCCGCCCCTTTCACTGCCCCGCCTCGGGACATCCCCTCACCCCTCCTAACCACCACCACACACCCACTAACGTTCACCCCCACCACCCCCAACGCTCGGTAATCCTCATCCCTCCCGTAATTCGCAAACACCGCCCTACCCACCGCCGTCCCCGACGGCGAGTAAGCGTGGTAGGGACGAATTATGTCAAACCCCACCTCCAAAGTCCCGATTTCTTGACTATTTAGATCACTAAACTTCGCAGTAAGCGAAATTTGCGTCGGATAAGACAACAAAACCTCGTACTCCGAAACTTTTGTCTCTAAATGAAGATTCTCGAAGTGGGTTTTGACGTATTGCGCAGTCTGATAACCCTCACGAGTTCCGGCGAGGTGGGGGTGGAGAGTTAACGCACGGAGATACTGTGAAACGGTGTAATTCGATGAGAGAGAAAGAAAAGTGTCGTGAAAATGGTGAGTTAATTTCGACGCTTTCTGGGGTTTTGCAATTGTTTGAATCTGGGTTTTTTCAAAGGTGTAAAACCCCAAAATACAGAGCAAAATCACAAAGATGAAGGTTGTTGTAGGGCGTTTGAAATAAAGATTTTGAGCCATTTTTAGTGAGAGAGGGAGGAGAGAGAAAATGGTACTGTAAAATGAATGAAGAAGTTGAAGAAATCGACGCTTTTTATCAACAAACAGAGGATTGCAAAAGGTTATATTAATGGCGATCAACGGTATGTGTGTCAGAAAGTGAAGAGAGTGGCTTTCAATGGAAAATTTGTGGGGTCAACAAATAATTTGAAGAGACCAATAGTGGGTCCCACCTGTTCTTGGTTGATGTACAATCATTTATCCCAGATTTTTTTTATTCGACAGTCAACCTGATGAAGAAGATGTATGTTTTCAGAAATCAGAACCATATACTATTTCCAAAATATAATCGTATATTATGATTCCTAATAAGGATATTCCATTATCTTCAAGTATCTTGTTCCTTTGGAAATGTTATTTATGTTTGACAAATCAACCGGATCGAGTTTGATTGTTGTGGTGATTCCGTCATGAAATAAGGCTATTTTTTGTTCAATTTATTTTTACTCATTCGATTTAATGGCTTTATTTTGTTCATTTTATTCTTATTCATTTGATTCTTATTCATTTGATTTACGAAGAAATTTAAAAGGTACACTTAGTATTAACGACACAAATTATTACTCCTTATGATTTTTTAAAGCTATAGTTTAAGACAGATTGTTTAACGCTAGTTACGCTACATATAATATTCGTAGATATAAACATAATTTGTAGAAACACTATTATTGTTGCTACATAAATATGACCATAAAAATACACATCAGAGTAAAATAGTACCAGCGTTGCAAACTCGAAATGTCTACAACATTACCGTTGTCAATCTTTTTTCATCTTAAAGGCAAATTTTGTGATACATTAAACAAGATATTGCTTATAGGGAAATATGAATTTGATCATGTCTAGAATATCGAAATTGAGATAATGAACCAATTCGAACCGTTATTATCATGATAGCTTGATCCAACGAAAACCAACTCTAAAAATAAGTATATAAAACCAATTTACAACATTAATTTGATCGTCATCCGATAAAAGAAAAACTAGCTAGTAAAAATGAATGAAATCAATCAGAAATCAAATGAAACCATTTCTGAAGTAAACAATTTTTTAAATGAATTTAAAACTCCCTTCCTCCTATTTTAATTTTAAAGCTTGTTTATTAAATTCAAGAATTTAATTATTATTTGATAATGTTTTTGGATAGTTGATGTTGTTGATTTATTATTATTATAATTTTCTGATTTTAATTGGATTAAAAAACCGTAATTATAAACCCTAGAATTTGGGAATAAGATGTTTATGGTTAGGGTTTTATCTTAGAGTTGTGGTTGATAAATTGATGATTATAACATGTTTTTAATGAGTGTAAAGCCATTAATTAACGCTGGAAATTTATTATACACACTACTTTTCAATTATTATGTTAGAGTTTAATTACCCACAAAAGGGAAAAGGTTTTTAATGATTTAAATATGATTTTCTGGTTTGTTAGCGATGTTTTATTGCTGGAATTTTATTTAAGTCATAAAAATCAAGTCTTTTTGAAAGAGGTTTAAGTACCCACTTAAAGAAAAGGTTAAGGCTTTAAAACCATTAAATTGAGTTAGTTAGTGAGGTTTAAACATATAATAGTTTATGGAAATTTGTGGGAATAATGAATTAATTATGGTTATGTATTTTAATTACAGGAAGTTTTGAGCTAGGTGCTTTCTAGCGAGTGTGGCCAAGTTTAGGCAATATTCAAGGTACGTATTCGCGTAAAACTAATTATGTATGCGTAGTATCATGCTAAGAATTAAAGTATGTATCAAGTGATGAATTAAATTAGGAGCATGTTTGGTTGATAAATGCTTGGAATTGATGTTGGTTGATTATGAATTTTTATGCAAGCATGTGAACATGTTATTTGAGACATGATACAAGTTGAATTATGTATGAATTATAAGAGTATGTTTTATTTTCAAGTATCAAGGAAGTGTGAAATTATTAAGCTAGACTTATACATGTTAAAAGAGCTAAGATTATAATTATTGAGCATGATTCATGATTCTTACACCCATGTATTAATGTAGTTGAGTCGAGAAGTTAATTATTTAATTACTTACTCACATAAGTTGCGGTTGAGTCAATAAAGTTTATTAGTGCATTCTATGCACCAAGGTAGTAATAGTGCAATCTTGTGCACAAAACTAGACAAGGAACCTTAATTAAAATAAATTGTATGTGCTCATTAATTAATTCTCGAATTAAGTTGAAGTATGTATTGATAGATTGGTTGGAGTTATCACATGTTAAATTGGTAAATCACGTAAAGTGTAAGAGGATATGCACCAAAACTCTTAGAACGTATATACCTTGAGTATGAACATATGGGGGGAGTTATGTGAATTTATATTTGATCATAGCTTCTACAGGAGTACAGGATGTTGTACTTTCTTTTATTATTACTCTAGCATTCTGTCACTTATGTGACTTAGTCGGTGCTAACTTGGGTAGCTCCCTAGTTGGAAGCCCAATGTTATAAAGGGCTAGGTAAGGAAGAAACCCGTTCGAGGCGTAATCCAAGGCTATTGAATGATAATTAACATTGCTAGTTATGAGTCAAAGGTAAGTTGACTTGTAAATTGTATGGCGAGCATGTTTTAATTATTATTGCTAGGATGATCATGTTAGTGTGCTAGTTTTATAGGTGCATATGTACTCAACTTTTACTGATTTGCACTTTTGTGTTTGTGTTTGGCTTTCCTTTGGATTGTCCCTACTATTAGCCATTTTGTCTGGTGAGTAGAAGGGTTGAAATAAAGGGAAAAAGACAAGTACTCAAACACGAAGAGCATGAGGGGATGAGTGTTGAGTGTTACTTGTTATGCTTTTTTAGACTTAAATTTTTAGATGATTGATGAATTATTTTGGACTAACATTGTTATGATTTACTTTGGCTTGGTTTGGTTTTTGAAGGGCCATGTTTATATTGGTTCTACTTTGTGAATGTTTTATTTGACTTTGGTTTTGAAGTTGTAAACTGTTCTTTTATTTGCAAAAGTTTTATTTTGATTTAAGACTTCCGCTATGTGACTTTGAAAAGCCTTAGCTGTTATCACGGTGGCGGTAATATTTTGGTTATTTCCTAAAATGAGTTTTATTAAGGGAAAAAAAGGAGTTTTAAAAGGAGGAAATTTTTAGGGTATTACAAAACTCTTTCAAGGAACACTTATTTACAAAGAACACTTTCAATTAAAATAGTAGTTGTTTCGGGGTTTTCTGATGTCCTGCGGGAGAGTTACAATTCCGAGACTGGAACCGGACGCCTGTACCTGCAAAATAACGCAGACTCCTGAGAGCTCCGCCTCCAACGATCAAGTTAGTACCTGATTAAGGAGTAATTAATACGGAAATTAAAGTAATCAGATCTCTCTAGGTGAGAGTGTTTAATGTAGGTAATCTGCTTTGCTAGCGAGATTAGCCGGTTATTAGTGTTCCGTAATGTTTATGTTCTTCTCTGTTCTTCAGGTGAGATTAATTGCTTGATGTTTGCTCGATTGCTTGATCCTCCCTTTTAATGAGGATTAATTAAGTATTTATAGTCTTGAGAAGCGTGCCACTCTCTAGGTTTAGGGTAAACCTAGGGCTGACCGGGCCTCTAGACAGGATTGGGCCTTGTTGGCCGGTTTTCCCATTTGGCATGGGTGGACACGTGGCGTGCCTCGATTGGTCCGTAGAGGACGTATCTGTGATTGACACGTGGCAGGCTCCTGTTGGCCTACGTGAAGGACACGTGGCGGAACCTGGTTGGTCCACTTGTCAAACGGTGATTGGTGGATAAAAATCCCCTAATCATTTGCCCCTCACAGGTGGCACGTGACTGGTCACGGGTCGCCTGTGACAGGTGTTGCACGGTGACAGGCGACGGCCTGCTACAGGTGTCACCTTGCAAATGGCCGAGAGATTTCCCGCCCAAATTTTGAATTTGGAAGCGACCCTTCGCCTTCTCACTTTGCCTATATAAGGAAGTGCTGACTTCGGTCATTTTCACATTTGAGAACTTTGCGAGAACATTCGGACCCCTGAACTTGCTCTGACATTTCGGACCTTTTCTGCCTACCGCCTGTTCTGACAAGCCGACTGCACCGGATTTCCAGAACTTCATCAACCGTCACTCGTTCAGGTAACTCAGTTCTCTTACTCTTAATTTTCTTTTTAATTTTTGAAATGGCACCACGGAAGCACACGACACGACCTAAGTTAGTGATCAGCCGGTCACCGGGGACGGCTGAATCTAGGACTAGGAGTGCCGCCTGCCCTTTTCTGGACCCATCTTTGCCCTTTATACAAAGTCCGACTGTATCTGTGTCTATGCAGAACGTGATGGCCAGAACAAAAAAGACTGCTATGATCTCAAACTCGGACGGCTCCTCCCAAAGGATGCTCATTAGTGAAACATCTGACCAGGCGCCAGATGTAGAAGTGAAACGAGGCGACTGCCAAGCCGACAGTTCTGAGAGAGGGGTCAAGGTGGTCCCTTCCCATTTGACCGTTGATATGTCTAATTTTCCTCCTTCTCCTTCTAAGGGAGAGGAGGCGGGCCCCTCTGGGAGAGGGGAGGAGTCGTCCTCTTCGGACTCGTCAGAGGACGAGTCCGAGTCCAGCTCTTCTGGCCACAGTTCTCCAGGCTCAGAAGAAAGAAACAGCCGCCTACAAGAGGCGAGGCTTTCTCATGCAGTTGAGAAGGGGGACAATTGGGCGGAGCCGTCCGCCTCTTACAGAGAGGAAAACGCCCCCTACTACTGCATGGAACCCCGGGGCCGGATCGCAACCATGCAAGACAAAGTGGAGAGCTTTATTGCTAACCACAGAATGGGCCCGGAATTTTTACTGTTCGTACCGGATCCAGAAGACACTGTCGTCTGGCCGGCTGGTACCAGCTATGATGACGGCTGCTTTGGCTGCTATGTGGCGGCCATCAAAGCTGGACTGCGCTTCCCATTACATCCGGCTGTTCAGCGGATTTTAGATGGGTATGATTTGGGGTTATGGCAGTTAGCCCCCAACTCTTGGGTAAACGTACTCGGCTATGTGGCCGGGTGCGAAATGTACGGGGTGGAGCCAAGCTTTGAGGCTTTCGCCCACATGAACTATCTCAGCCGGACCCCTAAGTCAGGAGGTACCGGCTGGTATCAATTAACAAGCCATAGGGGTTACCTCATGACGAGAGATAAGGCGAACAAATGGAAGGATTAGCGGAACACCTTCCTTATCATCGAGGGTTCAGACACGGAGCTGAACCAACGCTTTAACAAGTGGAATAGGGATCCGCCTCTTCTCGCAGGCGGCCGCAGCATGCCGCCTGTTCCCCCAAAGGCTAAAAAAGAGATCCTAGAC